TACCAGGAGATCCCTCCAGGTAAGAGGGACTTAAAGGCCCCTGGAGCGATCCGGTCCTACGCATATAGCACAGACTTCTTTTGATCCACATGGTTACTCTGCACAAGTACCTGAAAGTACCCGAGGTACCAAAGTATCCCTACAGGCCAGCCAGCAAGCAGCAGCTAGTTGAATCATTGCAAAGCTGAGCTAGAGTTTTGCATGAGCCCGTTCGCTTCCAAGCAGGCTCCAATTCAAGAGATAAAAATAAATAAAGAATGAATGCTATTTTTTCACTATTGGTCCCTCAGTGTTGGCCTGGCTGCTCTACCCTTTTCTCAGCTGTCATGGTGAGGATTCCACCTCAGCTAAAAGATGGCTCTAAAGTTACTGTGGGCCAAAAGTTGACCTATGTCGGTATGGAAATGAGGTATAACCAAGTTCATAAATTTAAATAAATAAATAGTCTTGTCCAAAAGCCAAGCCAGGAGCAGTAGTACATGCCTCAGCCTGATCCTGGCCCAGGTACTCAGGGAACTGAGGCAAGAGGATCATGAGTTCTAGGCCAGCCTGAACAACTTAGCTGGACTGTGTCTTGGTAAAAAATAAAATCAGCTGGGAGTGTACCTAAGAGGTAAATCGCTTGCCCAGCATGCAGGGACTCAGGGTTCAACCCTCAGCACTGCAAAATAAAGAACACAAACTATGGATTCTGAGCACCCCTCCCGGCACATCTGCAGACTAGGAATCTGCATTTATGAGAACAGCAGAGATGACTCCAGGGCAGATGTGACAGGGCCTCACTTTGAGCACCAGAGGCAGCCTCTCCCTGCCCAGCTGCCTCCTCTGAGAGACAGGGGCCGGTCCCATGGATCTACTGACTTCTTGTAACTGGTCACAGCAGGACTGCAACCAGAACCTCACCAGCTGGCCTAGCATTCTTTCCAGCACATTCCAGCAGAGGGGAGGAAAAAGAAATCCAAGTCTCTTAGAGAAACTTTGTTCTCATTTTTTCAGTTCTTCCAGCAGCCAAACTCCCCTGGAGTGTCAAACAATATGTTCAAGGCCAGCAAGGAAAAAAAAAAAAAATCATACCACTAATTCAAAAAAAAAAAAAAATCTCACTCGATGCTTTGTGCCTGTGTGCTGGCAAAACTGGAAGCAGTGAAAATCATTTAAATATTACTTTTCTTTAATTGTGTGAATATCAGTATGTGAAAATTGCCATGTGTAACATTAAGAGTTGTTACAGTTTTCTAAAAGCAAGCTCGCCTTTCCAATTGCCATTCAGTGAGATTGTTTCTCTTTTTACACATGCCCATTAAGCTCTCAGTGCACTATTAGACCTGTATAATATCTAAACACAGTTCAGAACCGATTCTTAAGAGTACGTGTCAATGGAAGTCTTATAATTCTATGAGATTATTACAGTTGCATGTACTGTTAAGCTGCCGTTCTCTGAGCGATTACCCTCGAGATTGGTGTTTTTTCTGTGTATTTACCCAGTTTGTGTTGAGTGAGCAAACATGAAAATTGGTGGCCTAATGCCAAGGTTCAGGGAACAATTATTCCCCTGTTCCTGGCTTACTTATTTATTTCTGGTTGTTCTCTGCAAGAACCCATCATACCAAATCCCTTGAAGGAATAGCTAAACTATTCTGGCACTGTATGTTGGGGTAGCTCCACTAATCCTTGCTCGTGTTACTGTGGGCACTGGCACACACTTTGCAAATATCTTGATTATGCGCATGTGTTGTTGCTGGGCGGGTGTTTTCATGACAATGGGCTGGGATCATGTTTTTTTCTTAAGTTTTCTTTGGCACACCACTGTTCAAAGAGAGCTTTCTAAATACATTTGCGGGGAGTGGATTGCTGAGATAGAAACTGCAGACCTCAGGAAAACAGGGTTTCAAAGATTGGGGGGTAGGGATCCAAAAATACAATGGCTGGGCTGAAACGTCTGACAAAGAGACACAAAGAGCTGGAACAACGTGGGACTTTAAAATTAGGTCGTTGAATTTAAGATGATACTTGAAATGCCACCCGCTTCTTACAATCTGGTGCTTTCTTTTCTTCTTTTTTGAGAAGCTACAACGTCCCCTGTGCTTGTCTCTGATGCAAAACAGGGAACAGCACAGTGAGTCTTTGTCCCCCTGCCTGCAGCCCTCCTGGAGCGCAGGGTGCTGCAGCAAACAGGGGCAGGATTGAGCATCTGGAGGAAGCCACTTAAAATGTTTTACAAGCCTGGGAGGTCTGCTGCTTAATGAAGCAAATCCCAGCAGGGGCAGCTCTTCTCAGGAGGTCTCTTTCCCCTTCTGGAAGAAGCACAAACTCTTTCAGGTGGTTTGTGTCCCTTGCAGTGGTTTCATACCTTTCTTGGAATTACTTGGTCCTTGAAAATCAGCGATCCACAAATGTTTTCCATGAGAGGTTGGATAATAAATGTTTTAAGCTCTGCAGGCCTTTTGACTCTAGAAAGCTCCTCGGTGCCACCAGAGATTGTGCAAGAGCAGTGGTGCACACACACATCCGAGGGTCTGCGCTCCAGCAAAACTTTATTTACAGTCAATGAAATTTGAATGTCATGGAAGTTTTGCAAATCATTAAGTAATATGCCTCTTGATTTTCAATCATTTAAAAACAAGTTATCCACTCTTAGCTCATGTGTTCCGTCAAGGTGACAGAGGGGAACAAACCCTTGCTTTAAGGCAATAACAGACTGAAAGTACAAATAGCGACATGGCCATCAGCTTTCCTCGTCTACCTTCAGCGACCAAACCCTGAAGATGCAACTGTCACCATAATAATTAGTCAGTGGAGACTCTGGGAATTAAAGCCCGTCATTGTCCGATTCATAAGAAGAAAGTAAAATCAGTGAATGAGTATGGGATCAGAGCCGAATTCTCTGTGTAATTTTTCTACTTCCTCAAAAAACTCAGTCTGAACTGAAATGTGAAAGTTTTCCTCGTGGAATTTGAAAATTCCTCATCCTGTGTGACCAATCCCACTTGATACATCAAGGCACCAATGCTGTAGGGACACAGAGGTCATGTAGCATCATGGCTAACTTTAATTTTTTGTATAAAGATCCTGCCAAATCAAAGATTCCATGATAAAATGGGACCAGTGTTTCTTTTTCTCCATAATTATCTAACAGATGCCTCTTTATTTTCTTCCTCATCCCTTTCTCTTTTCTCCTTCCTTGTTTTTTCTTTCTTTTTTTTTTCTTTTTTTGTTTTTTTACTTTCTGACCTTTTTTAATGTATTTTTAGTACAGGGTCTACAGGGTCTCACTATACAGATGGGACTTGTAGTGATCCTCCTGTTTTCAGCCTCGCAAGCACTGGGATTACAGCTGCACCACCATGCCCAGTCCTCAGTCACAGGCTCAGCGCACCCCAGGAGGCTGGGCCTGAACCCCAGTCCCTGAGCCTGTCTAAGCAAGCAGGTGCATTAGTTTGCTGAGTTATTTGGCTGGCCCAACTTTCTGCCTTTTGGAGTAGAGATTCAATATTCACAGATGGTCTATACCTTTGCTACTCAAAATGTAGTTATATTTTTAACTTTGCTTTCAATATAACTACATTAATTATAAATTTTTTGGATCCAGAAATTCCTTGTAATCCACTTTCACGTATGACCCAGAAGGTGCTGGCCACACATGCCCTAGGAATGGGGCATTTGCATAATGATGAGAGATCTGGATTGTTTCCTCGGAAGCTCCAAAAGATACCCGCATACCATCCCTCCATTCTCTGCAAACCTCTGCTCAGTTAACCTTGAAAGAAAAGAGGGATGCACAGTAATTTCACTCTAAGAACTCTACAAACATCCATTCGATTTTCCTGAAAACATTTTATTGCTATCCTTTGTATTGGACTATTCTAGTCGAGAATTTCCCAAATTCCTGTTGAAACATTTAGCATCTCCTGTCGCACCCACAAGTCAACACTGTCAGACATTAGACGAACACCACTTCAGCTTTGTTTCACCTTTTCACTCATAAATCTTTCATGTTTGCTGTCCTGTAATCCTAATACTTTGCCTTGAGCTGCACCTCCTCTTCCTTAATTTTAGTAAAAGGAAAATTGAACAAATCTTTCTGGAGAACCGGGAGAGGGGAGGATGTGTTTAAATGCTATAAAGGAATAAGCTTCTTATGTCAGAGCGGACTATTGGTTCCTTGGAAGGATCCAGAACTTGCCCATTTCCAAGACTCCTCAGTTGTATTTTCTTGTCTGAAAGCGTAGAGAAACTGAACCAGACCGCCTGGTTCACCCTCGGTCCTTCCTCAGCGGCGGGCTCCCTGCGTTCCGCCAAAGACAGCTTCTCGGAGCCTGAGTTTGCGCCCTGTGAAATTAAGGTTTGTACCTTCGGTCGTTAAAAATCCCTTTCAGCTATTGCCTTCTAAACAATTAAAAAACAAAAGGAAAAGAAACCCGGAAAAGGCCAACTTGTGGCTCATCTGAACAGTCTTCCTGGCTCGCCTGTTTTGCAGCGCTCTCTGGGAGAAGCGTCCACGCGCACGCGCTTTCCCAAGGGCTGAACGGCCCATAAAACGCACCTTCCATAAAAATGATTCGCGCGGCCCCTTTGGCAGCTGCAGTGTATGGTCCTGAGAGTCTGGTTTCCTTCCCCATTTGGCTTTCTGTTTGTGTGACTACCTTTGCGGAGTCCCCTGTGACACTGCCCGCTGGCTCTGTCCTGGCCGCCTGCGCTCCGGCCGGTGTGTGCTGAGGGTCACCTGCAGCGCTTTCTGCGCGATCGCCGGCTACACTGTCCCCATAGCGACTGAGAACAGCTCCAGCGAGTGGACCAGGCACCGTCTTGGGGGCGTGTCCCAGCGTGCCTTTCAGAGAAAAGGAAATAAATAGAAGTTCCCCGCGGGATGCGTGGGCTCCAGTATTTTACAAGCTAACTGCCGGGCAGCGGCCCTGCCCTTTCCTCGCTCTGGATACATGCACCCTCGCCCGGGTCCTCCAGGTTTCCGTTACAGAAGTCCCGCCGCCGCCGCCGGAGCCCAGGCCCGCGTGACGTGGTTTATTATGGCAACAGTTCCAGGCAACTGCCCAGGAGCCGGCACCTCCGCCTTTGCCAGGTGCGGGAGGCGCAGGGCGCGGGGCGCGAGGAGGGGAGCGCGCCATGGGCTGCGGACCTTCCCAGGGCGCGGAGGACCGGACACCCGCGCGCACGCCCAGGAGGGGCTGGGAAGACGGATGCAAGGTAAAACATGGACAGCAACAAAACTGCACAAATGCTAAGCTTCTGCGCTGGAAGCCTCACCACCCCAGTGCTTGGGGGCCACTGAGTGGCTGGAGTGAGTCTGCCAAGGCGCACAGTTCGCTTCCTGGGTGGGTCACAGGGTGAGCGAGCGGGAGTGACTTTCCCCGGCCCGTGTCTAGTTAATCTGCGCGTGCGTAAATCTCTCTCTCTCTCTAGAAACTGCTAGAAACATGAGATCAGTTCTGAGAGCCTTTGGTGCCTAAAGAGCCTGCCAGGGCGAGGCACAGGCAGAAAGAACGAGAAAGCAGCGCACTCCGCACAGCCCTGAGGAGGGCGAGATTATCCAGGAGGCCCAGGTGCCTGGGAACAGCCCTAGAGTGTGGGCTTCTGGGAAATGGACTCTGGTGCTGGGAGCTGGGAGCGCCCACCGGATCCAAATGGCGGCATCCTCTTGCTCCATCAATGAGGAGGCTGGAGGTGGAAGATTTGTCCCCAGATGCACCGCTTATTTGACGGCAGAATGAACAGAATCTAGTTTTCAAGTCTCATTCCAAAACTCTTTTTTACTCTCCCCAAAGGTGTGTCCGCTTAAGTCTGGAAACGTGAAGGGGCTTCTTCGAGAGGGGCTCTAGAGAGATGAGCTGTTTGTGACAGAAATAAGCCCTTCCCATCCTTTCTTCCCTCAAGGTGCCATAGAAAGAGCTAGGATCCCTAATGATGCATTCCTTAGCAGGAGTTACCCAAACACAGGGTGATCCTGTAGTCTACTATCATAATCACACTGTCGGGGAGCCATCCCTGACGATGCACCCTGTGGTCCCAGCGCTGGGGGCTGAGGCAGGAGGACAGCAAGTTGAGGAACAGTCTAGGCAACTCAGCCTGATTGTACCTAAAACTAAAAAATAAAACGGGCTGGCGGTGTAGCTCAGTGCAGAAACCCTGGATTCAATCTTTAACACTGTTGAAAGAAAGAAAGAGAAAGAAAAAGAAAAGAACACAGTTCACACACTTTCTAGACACTCCATATGGGGGCTTGGGGCCGCCTTTCCCGAAGAGCCCCTGGAGAGCCACTGATCAGAGGCACATGTGGGACCTCACCAGGCATCCAGTAAGGCAGGTGGAGGCGGGGATGAACCTAAGTATCCTGGGCCTGACTACATTTGCATGAGAAGACGCTTAAACAACTGAGCTAAGGAGCAGGTCCCCTCCCCACACATTGGCAACAGCACTTGTCACATGTGAGGCATATCTGGTGGCCTCTTGGAGTACATTTAAATAAACCCAGGCTTTTAAAAGGCTGAGCCTGCAGGCTCAGGGCTTGGTGCTCTGAGGGAGGCCTCCACCCACTTGCCCACCCACCCCACGCCTGCTCTCCACTCCCAATCTCCATCTTTCCGCATTTAGCCCCTTACCTGGTCTCACAGCCTCTCTGCTCACCCAGTTGTCTCCCTCCCACACCATCACTCATTTTCCCAAGAACCTCCCTCTGGTGCACAGAGCCCCGTTAGGTGTAGTCCCATCCTTTCTCAGGAGCCAGGGCCTCTCCCTCATAGACTCTTAGGGCTGCCAGACCAAAGGTCTTGCAGTGCTCGGTGCTGGCAGGTTTCCTCACCCTGTGCCCTTCCCTGGGCTGTGCCCTGTTCCTGCGGTGCCATCCTGGGCCCATTCTGTTAGGCTGATGAGCACCTAAGGCTTCCTTCAGCACAAGTGCTCTGCTCCTCCCAAACTCCCTGCTGCTGCATGCTGAAGCCCTTTTCCTTGAAGGGTTCTTGGCCTTCTTGGGAATACTTGCCATCTTCACTACTGTTATTATTGTTTCCCACTAATGCGTAAGAATAATTTTCTCCCTTTTTCCAAAAACAGACTGAGGTCATCTAACGGTACTCTCCTGGTATTCTTTTTCCACATGAAATCCTTTTTCTTATCTTTATTTATGTTAGGGATGATTTCACACAAGGCTTCAGTAGAAGAAATTTTCCACTCTTTGAGGTTTCTTTTCTGACCACTGTCATTGGTTTGATCTCATGATTATTACTGAAAATGGTTCTGTCAGATAAAACAGAAAGAAGTGCTGAGAAGCAGTCCCTGGAGTATGTATACTAAATTCTGCTAGATCAAGGTTCTTCCAGGAGCCTGGGAGGACTTCTTGGTTTCTTCTGGAATGTTCTGGGGAAAACAGATAATCATCAGCCTGTTTGCAGTTCTTTTTAAGTCCTGGGGCTGAAATGGAGGGCCTGGTTCATGCTAGGGCTGCTCTCTGCCTTGAGCCACACCATACCCTCCCACTCTCCCCTCTGGTCTCCAGAGTCCTTTCTCCATTTCCATCCCAGTCTAATCTTCCACAGACCCTCCAGAGTGACCCCTCTAAAATAAAATCAGATACATCAGCCTGTGCAGAAAAAAAGTCACCAGTCCAGTAGGGGAGTACAAAATCAGTGGTCAAGAATAAGACAACCAAACTTTAATTTACTTATTAGTTGTGGGGCCTTGGTCACATTCTTTAACTTCTCTGTGCTCCAGTTTCTTATCTGTAAAATAAAGATAATAGCAATGCTTATTTTATAGAGTTGTTGCGAGGATTATGTTAATTCAGTTCACATAAAGAGTTTATCTATTTTGGCACAGAATAAGAACTTAATATAAGTTACTGCAATGATTAGTATTTTTTGTTTATTATAAAGTCCTAGCATGCCATTCTCAACTGCCCTGACTCCTGCCACCCCTCCCGTTTCATCCCGTCCCATGTGTGTTTTCTAACAGACCTGACTGCTTCTTCCAAGACCCATTCCTTTCTGGCTCCATGCTTCACAGCTACTGTTTTGTCTCCTTTCAGATTTTTTCTTCTCTTTTCCAAGATCACATGTCAAATTCCACTCATCTTTCAAAAACAACTCAGGGAGACTCTTCCCTAAACTCTTCTGACAGGGTGGATCTGACACCTTCTCCAATCAGGTTGCAATCCACTTTATTATATTTATCTGTTGCCAGATATAGTGGATTCCTAACTGGTGGTCAACTTATGACACTCAGCTGAATTAAACAAGTGTGGTGCTGGGTGCAGGAGGCCCACCTGAGGATTGTTGCTGGCAGTATAAAGGCAGAACGGGCCAAGCTACCAAAAATCACTGTTAGGGATGATGTTTGGAGAAGCTGTTGGAGCTGTTGGAAGCTACTAGTTCTCTTGAGCTGTTCCACTGGAGGACCTTGTCACGCTGGCTTTCTCCATGAACTTTGGAGGAGCTTTGGGCCTCAACTTGAGCATTGTTTTCTGGCTCCAGAAAGGAAGATGATGCACAGCTCAGCCTCATGAAGAAACTTGTCGCATTGGCTTTCCTGATGGGAGCTGGCTTTCGTCATCACTGGAGGAGCTTGGGACATCACTGTTGCTGAGGACCGCTATGGTACCTTTGGGGGAGCTCTGGTACTTACCTTGAGTGTTGCTTCCTAGCTCCAGTTCAGATCCCTCAGCCTGTTAGCACAGATCCTTCATCCCACTGGTATAGACTTCCTAGCTTCCACCACTGACCTGTGGGTCCTTTCAGCACATATCTGTGAAGTGGGCCTGCATGGGACTTTGTTGTGGGCTCTAGGCCTCCAGTTGGACTGGTGGGAGGCATTATTATGAGCTCTAGGTTTACAGTTGGGTTTGTGCAGGATATTAGGATCTAGGCCCTCATCTGGAGTATTTACTGTTATGTGTGTAGACAGATCTCCTACACTTCATATACATTATTCTTGGGTGATTTATCATAAAATACTATCATAAAATGTGTCCTATATTATATTGTTCCCCTTATAAAAACTCTAAACCATAACACCAGGCTTGCCTCCCACTTTGAGCTGTCACTTCCTTAAGTCAAAAATTGTTCCCAGTTTTTCTTTACTACCTAATAAGAAAATGCGTTTTTTTTTTTTTTTTTTTGAACCAGGGATTGAACTCAGGCTCTTGTGCTTGCCAGGAAAGTGCTTATTCCACTGAGCCATCTCCCCAGCCCCAGAAAATGCTTTCTTATGGTCTGCACAAAGGACTAACTGATGTTTCAATGTTTAGCCTTTCAAACAGTCATATCACTGAGCAATTTTAGAGTTGCTATTTCTTACTGCATTTACTAGAAGTAAACTACCAAAAAAAATCAAATTTTGAAGAACAAAAATTTCCCTATATGTCTATAGACATATTTATAAAATGCAACTGCTAATAATTTGATTTAAGAAGCTCTCAGCTCTGGGGAGCCTCAACAAATTATTCCCTCCAAGCTGTTTGGCAAAAGTGTTTTCCAAAAGCTGTAGAACACATATAGTACCTCCAGAACAAATTTTCTTTTCCAAAAATTCACAAAAAACAAACAAGGAACACCTGTCTATAGCTAAAAGCAGTGCCTATTTTGGGAAGGCTGATGGTTTTTACGTGTGCCTGTTACCTTGGAGTTCATAATTTTTAATTCTGTCTAAAATTGATTACATGTTATGCTCAGAGCACTAAAGTACAAAATAGAATTGAAAACAAATGCAGAAACACATTGGATTTGTATTTCTAAAGCTTCAGCTCAAGCAAAAGATAAAAACCCCTACCCATTTCCCTCACCCCAGTGTCATTTCTCCTACAATGCAGATAGACTTCTTTTTGGTGTGAAAATACAAATACATATATATGGAACACAAATGCATCTGGTCATATCTCTGAGTAGCATAGGTTTAATTAAACTGGCAATATCTCTGGTCTTTGAACTATGTCTGTTCTCAAGTCTAAATTATGAAATTGAGTTTAAATTCCCAGAACGTGCTACATGTTGTTAAGATAGTTGAAAGACTGTCTTAGTTTAAAAAAAAAAAAGGTCCTCAACATCTGTGCTGAAGGCTGGTATATGTTACTTCATGCTGAATCATTGTGTTTCATCCGCTAACAGCCAGCTATCTCTCAGTACAAGTGGGCACAGCTCCTTGCTAAGAGCTTGACTCAAGGGCCCGAATAGCAGCACTTGACCAAGTAATTGTAAGGTCATTCAAGGTTATGGTGATTAAATCCATGCCAGTTTGTCACCTGTAGAATATCTTAGTGAATAGTCATCTACTGGAAACACTCAATTTTCCCTTCACTTTCAGTGTGAGCGGTTTGTCGTTGCTGCTGCTGCTGCTGCTGCTGCTGCTGCTGCTGCTGCTGCTGTTGGTATTAAATCAATTACATTGTCCAGGATCGCCACTTGAAATGCGGAGTGACAACCTTAGTCCCCACCCAGAATGCGCTGCTCTGTTGGTCTCCAAAAATGATGAATCTGCAAAACAAAATGAACCTGTGAAAATATTTGGCTTATTCACACCCCAGACACTGGCTTTCAGTGGTTTGAGACTAAAGCAAAGAATGTTTCACATGCTTCACACTTTTTTCAGTGTAAATTGTGAGGCCTTCAAAAAAAAATCATCAGGCAGGCTCTCGTTTTGCTTTAAGTGTACACATATGCACATCACACATTGCGTGTGATATGAGCTGTGTTTTATGGGAAGACTTTTTTCTGGGTTTGCTTACTCTGCAAGGGCTGCAAGGACTTCTGGGGCAGTGATGTCTGAAGAACAGTGAAGGCAGAGAAAAGCACGGTTGCTTTCAGGTTTCTCCTTGTGCTGATGCAGTTCAGATCCACTGAATGTTTGTTTGGTTGTTTGGTTGGTTGGTTGTCATATTCTCCATGTCATCAGAAGCCGTAGACCCAGTGACCCCACCAACAGTGTAGGTTCACTGGAGTGCTCATTTTATGTAAACACAGTAAGGAGCACTGTAGATCCCCTGGGGATTTATGAGAAGCCCTCATCGAATTATGAGGTCCTGAGCACAACTTGCACCCTATCCACTGTGACTTCTACTTGGCCTCCAAGGATCTTCAAGTTGTGGAGTTGGCTCTCCTGTCACTGTTGCTGTGACACAATTCCAGAATGTGCAATGTGTACTTATATTTTTGAAATTGTACACAATTGTCAGAGCTTCTTGGTCTCTGTCTAATTTTTATTTATTTATTTTTGGTATCTAGTACAGGATCTACCGGGTCTCACTATACTGATCACACTCAGAGTGATCCTCCCGTTTTCTGCTGCCCAAGCACTGTAATTACAGGCACATGGTCCACACCCAGTCTCAATCACCGTCTCAGCGTGCCCCGGAGGTGAGGCTGGCATGGCAGGCCTGGGGTCGAACCCAGCCGCTGCACTCTGCCTAAGCAGGCGCGTTAGTCAGCTGAGCCATCTGGCCGGCCCTTCTGTCTAATTTTTAGAGTCACAATTTCAAAACCGAAAGAGACTTTCCTTCTTCCCATGAACCTCTGAGTTGCCCCTTGTCTTTTCTTCTCAACAGTTCAGGCCCTCTCTCCTTCCCGTTTGCGCTACCAGGATCCTAGTTCATGCCAAGCAATGGCAATAATCCTTCCTGGTGAAGCCCCTTCTGCTCCTTTCCTTCTTTCTTCTACTCTCCTAGTTTGCATTAACCCACAAGGAATCTTTCTTAAAAATGTACATGATGATTTTCTTTCACTTTTGTGGGTAAAAGTTCTTCAAAGAAATGGCATTCCTGTTGAATTCAAAATAACCTCTCTGCTCTGCTTGTAGCAGAGGGCTTCCCTCTGCCACCTCGCCTCTCCCCACTCTGCCTCAGTCTGTTTCCCCCATACTGGAATTATTCAAGTTCTGGCCGCCTATCAGTTTCATGCACCTGCCTGTAAGCTTGTCCCTCTGTCTGGAAAGCCCTTTCTTCTTGCCTGCAAGAAATTGATATTCCAGGGCAGCAAGACCATGTGGCAAAAAGTAGGAGGCCAAAGGTCATGTGCAAGGAAGATGCTTATGTTCTCATCTCTTCTGTGGAGGCTGAGGAAGCTTCCTCAGGTGCATGTGTCTTAGGTGGAGGCAAAGTTCGTAGCATTCATTGAAATGAGAGGTGGGAAAACTACAACCCATACAGAAAGAAGGAGCAACCCTGGGAGAGAGGAACATGGGAGAGGGATCTGACTAGAGGAATATTTAAAATACACTTCTGTTCCAAATAAATGGCAGTGCTTTGCATTCAATCGAGTTAGAGAAACTTGTCACACTTCTGCTTTTCTTCTTTGGTTGTGAAGCTGTGAAATGTTTCATGTGGACCAGTACTTGGATGTCAGTGATTCACTATGTCACAGGCTAGCTTGACAAGCAGTTGGTCTGAAGAAATAAACACCCTTAATAAGATAATGTGGAATTTTAAAGATGGTGCACTGTTTGTGCAGGGCCCTTTGAGAATGCATATTTCAGAAAGTGTACATAACCTTCAAAGAAGAATGTTTACCTACATGTAGGAATTCTTCTCATGGAACCAATAGATGGCTTCACAAGGAAGTATATACATAAATATTACCTCAGGAATGCTTACAATATTGAAAAGTTCAAAATAACTTAGCAATGCCTTAAATAAATTGTGGTAGGGTTGTAAACTGAATGACAATGAAATTGAATAAACAACTACTCTGCAACATTAGATGGAATGAGCTAGACCTAAATATGATACAATAGGTAAGTGTCTCTGACATGTCTTAGTGGGGAGAGAAGTGTTACCAAAGTACAGTATTGTTTAATATATGATCTGAGCTATTTTATTTTCCAAAACAGCCTAATTGAAATATAATATAATTAAAACATACAATTGTCAACCATGACCTCAATCTTACTTTAGAACACTTTTGTCCCCTCTAAAAGAAATAAGTAATCTGTACTTTCATCAATGCACCCCTCTTAGACTCACACAGCCTCTAAATCTATTGCCTACTTCTATAAATTTTCCTGTTATGAATATAAATGGCCTTTATGACTGGCTTCACTCACTTGTCACATCTGTTTATGTTGTACATGTAGCGTTAATTTTTTATTTTCAAATAATATTCCTTCATATGACTATACTACATTATATTTCAGTTGTTCCCACTGTTTGAGTGTTATGAATTATTATCAACATTTAGATTCAAGTTTTGGGGTGGACATATAATTTCATTTTGAAGGCTGGGGTTATAGTTCAGCAGCAAATGTGTCTGCCTGGCAAACACAAAGTCCTGAGTTCAAGCCCCAGTACTTTAAAAACACAATAACAACAAAAAAAGAGCTTTTTGTTTGGGGGCTAGGGAGATAGTTCAGTGGAATAAGTGCTTGCCTGGCAAGTGCAAGGTCCTGAGTTCAATCCTTGGTACCACCAAAAAATAAAAAATAAATTTCATTTTGTTTGCCATATAGCTGGTGCGGAGTTTCCAAGTTATATGATTACTATGGTTAAATTTGGGGGGAAACTCTAAAATTAATTTCCAAAGTAGCTGCACCATCTTGTATTCCCACAGCAATGACTCTTGAAGACTCCAGCTTCTCCATATCCTCACCAATACTTGTTATTGTTGGTTTTTTTTTCCAGTGTAGTCATTCCAGTAAATGTGAAGCATCCCATTATGATTTTTATTACTTAATAACTAATGATATTGAACATCTTTTCATGGGCTTCTTGGACAATTCCAATTTTTTTAAATGTTATTTTTATGAGCAAATACATTTAGGAAGTAATAACTAAGATGGTTATAGTGCTTCCACCTAAAGAATGATGCTTCTTTTGTATCTATGTTTCTATGATAGCATTCTACCAAGGAACAGATCCAGGAGGATGGATGGATGGATGGGTGGATGGGTAGAGAGATTAATGTATCGCAAGGAAATGGCGTGTGCAACCATGGGGCCAGCCAGAAGTCCAGAATCCATAGAATTGGGCATGTGGTCAGAAGGAGGACCTCAAGTCTACCATGAAGCCTTTCAATTAATTGAATGAGAACCAGTTAAATGATCAAGGGCTTACACTTAAGTCCTTACACTCTTACCCTTAGAGTCAATGGATCATAGATATCACTCACATATGTAAAACTCCTTCATGGCAACACCTAGGTTAATATTTCACTGAATAACTGGCTACTATAGTAACCATCACAGTTGCCATCTGTATTTTAAAATTACTTTTACAATGAAGCTGTATCACGTTTTCAACCTGAAAAACCAATGTATTTTCATTTTTGAAAATAATGAAAAAAAAAAGAAAATACTTCTTCTACAATAGTACCTCTTCTTATATATTTGATCACCATGAGCTTGTTTATCTTCACATCCTCTAGAAATCTCAGGATAGGGGCCGGCCAAAAAGCTCAGTGGATTAAAGCACCTGCTTAGGCAGACACAGTGGGCAGGATTCAACCCCCAGCATGCTGTGTCATGCTGGCCACACCCCTGGAACATGCTGAGAGGATGATTAAGACTGGGTGTGATGGTACAAGCCTATAATCCCAGTGCTTGGGAGGCTGAACCCAGGTGGATCACTATGAGTCCGATCTATATAGTGAGACCCTGTAGACCCTGTACTAAAGTACAAAAAGGAAAAAAAAAGAAATCTCAAGATAGTAGCTTGCATGTGATTGATATCTGTTGGACACTAACATGAATTAGTAGAACTGTATCAGCTTCCTACTCCTAGTTTAAAAAATTAACTAACTCAAATCAACACTAAAAACAACCCAGATGTCTTCTGGAAGTCAGAAATCCAAAATAATCACACTCAGTACAGAGACTCAGAAGTGTGAACCCTTTCCTTTCCCCTTCCAGCTTCCAGAGCTGTGTGTTTTACACTCCTTAGCGCACGGCCCTTTTCTCTGTCTCCAAGCCCAGTGCCAAGGCATCCTCAAATCCTTTCCTGCCTCCACCTCACATCGCCTTTTCCTCTTCTCTAACACTTGGGGAGAGTGGATAAGTCAGCATAATCTTGCCACCTGGAGCACAGTGACTCAATCCCGTCTGCTGTACCCCCCAGCAGCTGCAGGGTTCTGGGTGCTCTCCAACCTACCAGTCACTAGTTGCTAAATGCTCACCAAGCAGGCCCTGCAGCATTGTTTTCACTCCCACAAGAAATCTGGATTTTCACCAAGCTTGTCCCTTTTCACAGGCCGATATCAGGGTGATGCCTGAAAGGGCGGATCACAGTCCCCAGACCCAAGGGGCACTGCCCCAGGACACTGTGGACAGTGCAGAGTGTCTGGAGCCACAAGCCCTGATGGGAAGTTTACCTGGAACCATTCCAGAAAGTTCTCCATCTCCTGGGAACAGAAATAAAACAGTAAATTCAGGTAAAAACTCCTGTTCATATTGATCTGTACAAACTATTGTTTCTTTAAAGGTATTATATATTTGCTGGCCTTCTGTTACTGCTTTGTAGACCAGAAGGCACTTTAAAAGGCAAGGTTCTTGTGTTTAAAACATTGGAATTTAGTCTTAGACCTTCATTATGTGAGTAAATGATGCTGTTAGTAATCTAATGGATGAAGCAATCAAACCATGTTTGCTTGTTTGTTTAAACTAACACTAACATTTCCCAAATGCAAATGGTCCTTGACTTACTCATGATGGAATTGTATCCCAATAAGCATCAGTTGAAAATATGGTAAGTTAAAAATGAATTGGCAACATGAAATATCCTGCCGTAGCTCAGCCACACGACCGACTAGATTGTGGTCATTTCCCCTTCTGATCATGGACCTGACTGGAAGCTGCAGTCACTGCCTCTGTATAGGACCCAAAGAAGATTGACCCACTTATTTTTTTTTTTAGTGGGGGGGAGCAGTGGGATCCAAATTCTAAACTCAAAGTATGGTTCCTACTGGATGCATGTGATTCTCACACTACTTTAAAGCCAAAATATTTTAAGGCAAAACATCGTTAAGTCTAGGCCGTATTTCCTTTAAAAAAATAACACTTTGTTTTTAATAATATCATATTCAACAAAAAAATAAAAAGTACAAAATAATCCAGTATCTACATTCTTCCATCCAAATTCCTTCCATGTTAACATGTTACCACTATTGCACGATCGTAACACCTCATATAGATAGATATGTTTTCTGGGATTTGGCTGTAGATTTCACGTGACTTTACTTCCAAACAAGCCAGTGTGTATTTCTTAAAGGCAATAGTCTTAAAGACTATTCTTAGCATAATCTCTGTACAAGAATCAAAATCAAGAAACTACCACCGAAACAGTACTATTATTTCATTTATAGACATAATTCAAATGTCACTTATGTCACAAAAGACCTTTATAAGGAAATTTATGATTCAGAATCTAATCCTGGATGACATGCTTAATTCATTTATCACGTGCCTTTAGTCTCCTGGAATGTGAACTACCTTCCACTTTTCTGTATTTTTTAAGACCTTAGTATATTTGAAGAGTACATGTCGTTTATTTTGTAGAACATTCCTCAATTTGGGCTTGCCTGAAATTTCATGGTTTGGTTCAGGTCATATATTTTTGGCAAGAGTATGAAAAATGACATTGTACTTTTCAGTACATATATTTGGAGATACAGGATGTCTACCTTTCATTCTTCATTTGCCTTATAAATGTCTGTTTTTATCTTTAGTGTAGTAAAATTTATTAATCTTTTAATACATTTGGATGTTTTAATTAATTTAATCTTATGAGTTTTATTATGTTAAACAATGAATATTTAACAAAAAATATCACGAAAATAAAAGTATTGCACTTTATTTTATTATTTTATTTTATTTTATTTTTGAGGCTCTGCCAGGGCTGCCAGGGTGAAGTGCCACAGGTGAATTAGCTTAAACAATAGACATTGGGTTGGCATCTTCTTTTAAAAAAAAAAATTTTAATTTTAATTTTATTGAGAAACAAATATGAATGAGACATTTTCAAAGCTGATTAACAGGACAGTTTCAATAATCAATACATTGTACATTGTTATCGTCTTAGTGATTATCCATAGTACAAGAAGCAGACAGGATATCCTGTCCAAACACCATTAGTACACCTCTTTCTTCTCATTGAATTAAGCAAAAGTAGCTGTATATCTATCCTATTTTGTATATATAAATACAAAATGATCTTTCCTTTGTATCCCCTTTTTTTTGGTTTAGTCCTGTCAGAGGTGGATATTCTATTGTCATCTAAATACTATAGGTGTTTGAGTTCAGCAAAACAATCCAACACTGTCTCGCAGTCTATAATATTAGTGGGTCATCCTCAGACATTATTGACTTGAGCCTTTTACAGCTCATCCTATTAATATGGATTTACTTTATATACCTTGTTTTTATACTTTTCTGCTGGATGGTTAAGACCAAGATAAAGCAAGACCTATATAATAAGAAATGTAACTTTTGTATCTGATAAGGTCAGTCAAGTACTCTCAGGATTTATCCCGTAACCCTGTACTGCACTTTGTAGATCCTTTGTCAGTGTCAGCCATGAGGATGAGTCATGGCCATTGAGTGACCAATTTGCTCTCTGTGAAAGCCTGAGAGAATGTTTTTTCTCTCCGTGTGACTCTCCTTAGGCACACTATACATCATTGATCACATTCCTCTGTGGCTCCATAATCTCCTTGATCAGAAAATTTAGGGCACAACTGAGTTACATGATGTTACAGTACAGCTTCTCCTATGTCCTGAGTCTTCACTGACCTTGAAAGGCTAGGGCCAAAATGTTGGCTGACCTTGCAGCCCTTCCTCTTCTCTAATTTTGATCTGCTAACTTACGTTGTTAATCCTCCAGAAGAGAAGCTTATTATTAACCTACAATATATGCAATTCGGTTTATCCTATTACATTTGGATTTTGAGAAAATGAAAAAGCTCCTTCCTGTAACAAGAGTAAGACAATTTCATCCATAATTTCTAGTATAAGTCTACTTTTTACACTTATACAGAATTTCTTATGGCATAAGAAAGTGCTAAGTTAGGCGTAAGAAACAAAATCATGTTTATAGTATGATACTGAATTTTGAAGTACATCAAATTTAAATTTTTTAAATAAAAATTTATATTTAACAATGGTAATGTCTAAGAAGTGATTTGTTCCTTTTTCTGTTTTCTAAATTTACTATGGAAATCATGTATTACTTGTATAATAAAATAGAAGCAGGATGTTATTTTTAAACATTCCCAACTATTCTCCAGTGTTCCATACAGTGGAACAAATGGTTGTGATTTCTAGGAGGCTCTGTTCAGGTAAGCTACTGTTACTATCATACCAGATGCTTCAGTGGACTAAGAAATTAATAGATCAGAGCAGTTACAATACTTTGATGATGTTAGTGGTGAATATCAGGCATGATATCACAACACACTAGAAGAGAGGCCCTGGGCTTGGAGGGCTGGCCATTTACATGACACATTTGGTGAGAACATGGATGTTGAAACTAATAGTCCAGACTCAGTCTTGGTTAATGCACTTGCAACTCAAGTCCCCTTGGTCAAATTAGTTAGTGTCCATCAGTGTTAATATAACTGTGATACTATCTTTGGCAGAGTTATGTTTGAATTAGATGTGATGTGGTATGTAAAGTCCTTGGCCCAGGATAGCTATCTTAAGTGTTGAGTACGTAGTAGTAGTTATTATTTTGATCATCTCAGAAAGCCCACCTTCTAACAACAATTTGACCATTCATGGAGAATTCTTCTCCACTGTCCCAAGTTCCTAATCCACCAGCCTGACTGATACAGTTTACCACCTAGTACCAAAGTCTACACAGAGCACTTTAAGATGAGAATTGATTCTATTTCAAACACTTGTGTAGGCAGAAGAAAAGATAAGAGGTGGCAGGAAAATTGCTGGGGTTATTGCTGGGGTAGTTTCAGAAACGTTTTGTGGCAGGTAGATTAATATTCTGAAGAGAGACAGGTCTGACTTGTGGGTGCGCACGTCTGGGCATGTTGCCCAGCTTCCTGGCACGAACTGGTAGAAGCTGTCTTTGTCACTTTTGAGGTCAGACTTTTTCATTAAAAGACTCCATCCACTAAATGCAGTGGATTCAGTGACTTTGCGAACTTCCGTGGTGACAAAATAGAAGACATCACATTTCTGAGGACCTCAACTTGAATCAATCTGAACAGGGGCAGCAAAACTGTCTCCAGACCCACTGACCAGCACCTTTCATGTTATAAGTGATGATAAATGTGACTGTTAAAAGATAATTAATATAACTGGATGATGTCTGATGAAGAGTTCTCTCATGACTACAGTTTATAAAATGTCTCCTATTAATGTTTCAGTGCTCATCTTAAAAATCCCACTGGGCTGGGAAGACAGCTCAGTGGAATAAGTGTTTGCCTGGCAAGCACAAGGTCCTGAGTTTGATCCCCGGTACCGCAAAAAAAAAAAAAAAAAAAAAAAAAAAAATCCCTAATAAAACTTGAGCTGACACTATGCTACCTCCAATTCTGATTTAGCTCAAAGACTTCAAAAATGCATATTCTTTCTTCTGTAGATTTAGCAGATGGTGTCATTGTACACTCAGCGCTTGCAGAGCTAGGTGTCTGTTGGCAACATTGCGCTGTTTATCCTCTGTGTACAAAGCATAGAAACCAAACTGTAACTCATAGAAGTCACAAGAATGCCTGAGTCTTAGCTGTAGGTGAGCTTCTTAATTAGCAGGCAAACTCATGTTATTGTCCCCAAGTGTACAAGTGTTGTTACAACAAAAATATAGTACATAGCAGCATGGGGAAGACTTTGTTATGTTAATATGAGACTTTCTAAATAAAGAATGTGTGATGTGGATATGCTTCCTCCATAACAACAGTAAGAATCTGAACTTAAAAGACTTACTGAGTTTTATAACAGGCCCAAACAGTAAGATTAAGACTGAGTTGTAAGGGGGCAGGGAGATTGCTCAGTGGAATAAGTGCTTCCCTGGCAAGTGCAAGGGCCTGAGTTCAATCCCTGGTTCCACAAAAAAAAAAAAAAAAGATCAGTAAGACTGAGCTGTAAGGCATGTGATGGATAAAAACCTTTGTTCTTAAATTTCCCTTTCTTCTTTCTTTTCCTTTGCAAGACCCAGTGACCAATGGATTAATCAATAAACTGCAACCTTTAGAGGACAGAGAGCGACCAAAGTCATCAGACATCCTGGAGGAACTAATGGTTCAAGGAATAATACAAAGCCACAACAAAGTATTTAGAAACGGAGAATCATACGATGTTATGGCAAGTAATTTTGTGATTAACATTAGCTTATAATTAAAATTAACAACAGAATATGATTGATCATGAGTCATTATTCTAAGCATATGGGACTTACAGTACAGATGACAACATTTATCTAAGCCAGGTTTTTTCTCCCATAAATTCCTTCACACCTGGCACACCACCATCCTCTGTGGATTCAAGTATTGTTCTGATCACAAATGATGAATGAATCCAATTAATCAATCTTGGCTTCTACTAAATTTTAGACACAGTAAGCTCCATTGAGTGATACATACTCTCATTCTTTTGGAATTTTTTATCATTCATTAACTTTTGGAACATAAAACTGAATTTTCGTTTATCCAATAAGAAAATGGGCCTCGATATCAAAGCTACAACAGATATATATTTACACACACACACACACACACACACACACACACATGAGGAGACAAATACAGTTCTAGAAGTTGTGTACAGTTTTGTTGTTATTGTTGATTCATCTTGATCAATCTGTTATTGTTTTTCCATAGTGTAAGATTTTCCCTATGATTTTAACTTGTTTTGCCAAAGTCTAGGAATCTAAATTTTTAAAACAAGTTTCATAGCAGGTTGTAAAGATGATAGCATGTTGTATTGTATATTTTTAAACTGATGCTCCCAGATGCCACAGGTTCTTAGAACACATCCAGAAGAGAACGGGGGAAATGAAAAAGCAACAATGAAAAGAAGCCTTGGGGAAGTCAGTGGGAAAGAAAAGAAACAGAAATGGGGGGATAGAGATGAGAAATACATTACAAATTCTATTAGTTATTACCTCTCCCTGTGTTTTAAGGGAAATGGCCAAGTGAGAAATACAAAGATTCATTATTTCTTTAAAAAAAAAAAAAGTTGTAGAGGAAGAACTTTGGGAAAGAAAGGAAGATTGTCAAACCTTAAGAATAGTATCAGGCTGCCAATGAGAAGAGGTGGTAAAATATAATCTAATTTTTAAATGTTCTTTATCATATTATGTAGGGACTTAAGGTTCAACATATCAATACTTGATGAAAAATACCTGTTCCTTATTATGCCTAAGATGTTTGAAATGTAGTGAAATAGT